CCAAAGCCAGTTAAGGACACTACAAGAAAAAATTACAGGGTTACTCAGCCATCCAGTGGTTAAGACTCTGCGCTTCCACTGCAGGAGGCCCAGGTTTGATCCCTGGTCAGGGAACTAAGATCCACATGCCACACAGTGCGGCCAAAAAAAAAAAAAAAAAAAAAAAAAAAAAAAAAAAATTACAGACAAATATCACTGATGAATATAGGTGCAAACATCCTCAACAAAATAAAAAAAAAAAAAAAAGAAAAGAAAAAGAAAAAATTACAGACAAATATACCTGATGAATATAGGTGCAAAAATTCTCAACAAAATACTGGCAAATTAAATTCAACAGCACATTAAAAGGATCAAATACTATGATCAAGTGGGATTAATCCCTGGGATGCAAGGATGGTTTAATACCCAAGTCAAATGTGATGCATCACATTAATACAATGAAAAATAAAGATAATATGATCATCTCAATTCATGCAGAAAAAGCATTTGAGAAAATTCAACATCCACTGATAATAAAAACTCCCAACAAAGTGGGTATAATAGAAACATATCTCAACATAATAAAGGCGATATATATGACAACCCCACAGCTGACATTGTACTCAACGGTGAAATGTTGGAAGCTTTTCCTCTAATAACAGGAACAAGATAAGGGTACCCACTCTCACCACTCCCATTCAACACAGTACTGGAAGTCCTAGCCAGAGCAATCAAGCAAGAAAAAGAAATAAAAGGCATCCAAATTGGAAAGGAAAAGGTAAAATTACCTCTATTTGCATAGCACATGATCATATATACAAAAAATTCCAAGAGACCATTAAAACTAATAAATTCAGTAGTTTCAGGATAGAAAATCAACATACAAAAATCAGTTGCTTTTCAATACACTAACAATGAACTATCTGAAAAAGAAATAAAGAAAACATCCCATTTACAATAGCAGCAAAAACGGTGTATACTTAGGAATAAATTTGACCTAGGAGGTAAAAGATCTGTAGATGGGAAACTATAAGACACTGATGAAAGATATCCCATGTTCATGTCTTGGAAGAATTAATATTGTTAAAATGTCCATACTACTTGGGAGATTGGGATTGACATATATACACTAATATGTATAAAATAGATAACTAGTAAGAACCGACTGCATTAAATAAATAAAATTTTTTTTTTAAATGTCCATACTACACAAAGGCATCTGTACATTCAATGCAATCCCTACCAAGATTCCAGTGGCATTTTTTTTTACAGAAGTAGAAAAAACAATCCTAAAATTCACATGGAACCACAAAACACTCTGATAGCCAAAGCAATCCCAAGAAAGAAGAACAAAGCTGGAGGCATCACAATTCCTGATTTCAAACTTCACTACAAAGCAAGAGTGATCAAAACAGTATGGTACTGGCATAAAAAAAAGACATGTACCAATGGAACAGAATCAAGAGCCCAGAAATAAACCCATGCATATATGGTCAACTAATATACGACAACAGAAACAAAAATACTCCATGGGTAAAAGATACTACCTTCGGGGCTTCCCTGGTGGCGCAGTGGTTGAGAGTCCGCCTGCCGATGCAGGGGACGGGGGTTCATGCCCCGGTCTGGGAGGATCCCACATGCTGTGGAGTGGCTGGGCCCGTGAGCCATGGCCGCTGAGCCTGCGCGTCCGGAGCCTCTGCTCCGCAACGGGAGAGGCCACAACAGTGAGAGGCCCACGCACCGCAAAAGATAAATAAATATACTACCTTCAATAAATGGTGCTGGGAAAACTGGATATTCACATGCAAAAGAATGAAAATGAATCTTACACTATACACAAAATATACACTATACACAAAAGTTAACTTGAAATGGATTAAAAACTTAAATGTAAGACCTGAATCCATAAAACTCCTAGGGAAAAAGCTCCTTGATGTTGGTCTGGGACTACTCAAACTAAAAAGCTTCTGCACAAGCAAAAGAAACAATCAACAAAATGAAAAGGCAACCTACAGAATAGGAGAAAATATTTGTAAACCATATCTGGTGAATTAATATCCAAAATACGTAAGGAATCATACAACTCAATAGCAAAAAAACAAAACAAAACAAAAAATACTATTAAAAAGATGGGCAGGGCTTCCCTGGTGGTGCAGTGGTTGAGAGTCCGCCTGCCGATGCAGGGGACGCGGGTTCGTGCCCCAGTCTGGGAAGATGCCACATGCCGCGGAGCGGCTGCGCCCGTGGGCCATGGCCCCTGAGCCTGCGCGTCCGGAGCCTGTTGCTCCGCGGCGGGAGAGGCCACAACAGTGAGAGGCCCACGTACGGCAAAACAAAACAAAACAAAACAAAAAAAACAGATGGACAAAGGAACTGAATAGACATTTATGCAAAGAAAATATTCAAATGCCCAACAGGTACCTGAAAAGGTGTCCAACATCACTAATCATCAGGGAAATGTAAATCAAAACCATAGAGAGATAACACTGTACCCCTGTTAGAATGGCTACTATCAAAAAGAGATAACAAGTGCTGGTGAGGATGTGGAGAAAAGGGAACCCTCATGCACTACTGATGGGAATGTAAATTGGTGCAGCCACTATGGAAAACTGTATAGAGGTTCCTCAAAAAATTAAAAATAGAATTACCACATGATGTAGCAATTCCACTTCTGGATATATAGCCAAAGGAAATGGAATCACTATCTCAAAGACATATCTGCACCCCGATATTCAATACAGCATTATTTATGGTGGCCAAGACATGGAAACAACCTAAGTATCCATCGATGGATGAATGAATAAAGAGAATGTGGCATATTTACACAATGGAATATTATTCAGCCACAAAAAAGAAGGGAAATCTTGCCATTCGTGACAACATGGATGATCCTTGAGGGCATTATGCTAAGTGAAATAAGTCAGACAAAACAAAATAGTGTATGATCTCATTTTTATGTGTAATCAAAAAAAAAACCAAACTCACAGAAACAGAAAGTAGACTGGTGGCTGCAAGAGGGAAGGGTGGTGAAGGTGGTCAAAAGACACAAAGGGCACATATAACTTCCACTTATATGATGAGTAAGTTCTGAGGATGTAATGTGCAGCAGGGTAAGCAATACAGTATTATACACTTGAAAATTGCTAAGAGAGCAGATCTTAAAAGTTCTCAACATACACACAAAAAAAATTGTAACTATATGAGGTGATGAATATTTTAACTAACCTTACTGTGGAAATCATTTTGCAATATACACATATATCAAATCATCATGTTGTATACCTTTCACTCATACAATATTATAAATCAATTATATCTCAATAAATCTGAGAAAGCTATAACTTTAATATAATTAAAATTTAATTAAAAAAAAAAAGGAAGACCAGAGTATTGTCTCCTCCCCAGCGGGTCCCACTAGCCACCTCTAGGACTAACTACTGAGGAGAAAGCACAAGGCGTCAGGGAAGCCCTGTTCCGTCTGCCCTCTGGCTGCTGCCTGGGAGTTCCTGGGTCTTATCTTACAAAGGAGCTGGTTGCTGCTTTGAGCTAAGGGAGATGGAAGAGACACAAGACCATGAGTTTCCTTGGGGACCTCAGAGCCCCTGACTTGGGGAGCTGGATGTGTAAGGAGTCAGACCGTGCTATGATCCAGCCAAGAGCAGCCACTGAGGGAGCAACTGAGAGCAAACCCCAAGCCAGAAGGTTTCAACGCACAAGTGGGACTGCTTCTGATGCTCGCTGAACATTCCCTGGACTCTGGCCTGGCTCCAGTTAGCAAGACAGCCACTAGGACAGAGGTGCAAGGACAGCTCACCAGGCAGCTCTCTAACCCAAACTCTCAAGAAAGAAGCTGACACAAGCTGAGGCCCAAACACAGCACCATCCTCCAGAACCAGATCTTGCCCTCTCTCCTCCTTTTCCTTTTCCCTTTGTCTTCATATCCATGGTTATTTCAACAAATATTTATTGAGTATAGACTGTCTACCCAGCAAGGAGCCAGGCACCACGGGAGAAATTTATTCATTCAACGAACACAACGTTTCAGACAGTGATCTGGAAACAAAACCAATCAATCCCTGACCCAAAGACGCAAAGAATGAAAACAACCAAAATGTCTATCAACTGATGAACAGATAAACAAAATGTGCTACATCTATACAACAGAACGTTAGTCAACAATGAAAAAGAATGAAACATGCTACAAGACAGATGAACCTTGAAAACATTATGTCAAGTAAAAGAAGCTACTCACAAAAGACCACATACTGTGTGATACCATTCATATGAAATGTCCAGAACAGGCAAATCCATGGAGACAGAAATTAGATTAGAGGTTGCAAGGACTGGGGGAGTGACTGCTAACAGGTACATGGTTTTGGGGGAGAGATGAAAATGTTCTATAATTGACTGTAGTGATGGCTGCACAACTCTGTGAATATACTGAAAACCAGGGAATTGTACACTTTAAATGGGCGAACTGTATGGTATGTGAATTATATCTCAATAAAGCTGATATTTTAAAAAATCTCTGCCCTGATGAATGGGGAGAAAAGGGGAATCCAGAACAATAATAATGTAACCATATGTAGTGTGCCAAATATCAGTGCAGGGAAGGGAAACAGTACAAGGAAGGGATCTGAAACTGTTAGAGAATGGAGACAGATGGCTTTACTCAGGATGCAAACCTGAAAGAGCTTAAGGAGCCAGCAGGCACCTATCGAGGGGAAGAGTACTCCAGGCAGCAGCTCCAGGAAATGCTAGTGCTCACAAATGCCTGGCAGATTGAGTCCAGCTGACAGCTAAGAGCCCTAAAGAGCTCTGAGTGCTAGGAGAAAGGGAAGCCCACAGCTGGTTGGACAAGGAACTCCACGTGCAGTTAAGGGTGTCCAGAACTCCAAACACCAATTCAGGGGCCCATAGCAGGAGTTCTAAATATATCTGTTCAATGAATGACTAATGAATCAACCAACTCTGCCCCAATACAGTCCCCACCCCCACCTGTACCTGGAGGACCCTGTTACCTTTCCAGCCCAGTTTGATGTTCCACTCATAGAAGAAAATCAGCTTTCCTTTGCGGCTGCTGCAGGAAGCCTCGCCTTCCACCTGCTTCAGCTCACTGATTTCGCAACAGCCAGCCTCATTCTCCACAGCAATGCCCACCAGGAGTTCGCGGAGCTTCCCCTTGGACCAGCTGGTGGCATCCCGCTCTGTCCTGCCGAGGGCCAGAAGAAGGGCAGAGCCGTGAATGGAAGCCCCCACTGGTGTCCACACGCCCACCCTGGGGAATCAGGGTAATGCCCTGGCCCAGTCCAGATCAGCCCAATTCCTCTCAAGCAGCTGTTGGGTGGTACTTTGTCTTAAAAACACTGGTTTATTTGGGGGAAAGGAGGTCTCGAAATCTCACCTGGTGGAAATGGAGGGGTAAAGCCTGGGCCACATGAAAAGGTAATTATAACTGAAATAACTTTTATCGTAATAAGACAAATTATCAAGTGTTTTCACACAGATATTATCTCATACAATCTTCCCAAATAATGTTCCCATTTTAAGGGGTGGAAATGAGCAGAGAGAAGTCCATTAAGTGTCCACGGTGACAAGGCTGGGAAAGGAGAGGTCAGCTCTTCCCAACCCCAAGCCAGGACTCCCCCAGGCAAGGATGCCCTCACAGGCTAAGGCTTTGCTCTGCCCTGGACCTGCCTCAGCATCACCCTGATGGCCTTGAGGTAGCACAGCCCTCAGAGGAGCAGAGCAGAGAACATCACTTCCTGAAGCTCTGACTGAAGAGTGAGGGGAAAAAATCAGCCCTAGCTCCATATGAGAAAGAAAAAGGATGGTAACTAGTAAGAAATACTAGAAGGCAGGGCTCACCAGAGACTCATCAAGTTAGATGTGGAGTTGAGATCCAATTCCTGTTGTTTCCAATACATACGTAACACACACACACACACACACACACACACACGCTTTCAACCTTCATTTTAACTCCCCCAAACTTCAAGGGGCTGGAGGGGGGAGGGGCGGCGCGGGGAGCGCTTCTAAGGTCAGAGACTGCGGAAGCTGAAGCGGTAAGTCAAGAATGACTTCTATTCCTGGGACCCAACCCAACTTTCAAAAAGAGGAGAGTGAAGTCCCACAGCCGGTGCAGATAAGACCCCGGGTCTTCAGGCTCCAAGGGCTCCGCAAGCCCTGAGGCTAAACACGAGCATCTGCACCTGTGCAGCCCCCAACCCTCCCCACTCCCCCGGCCCGGGGCCCACAACGGCCCGGGAGGCGCCCCGAGACACCCGCCGCCCCTGCACCCGGGTCACAGGGCGCCGGGCGCTCGCAGAGGGTCCCCACCCCCACCCCGCCCCGCCGGCTCCGAAGGGAGGAGGCCCGGACGCCGCGGCCCCGGGCCCTGCCCGGCCGCACCAGTGCCAGTTGTTCACGTTGGTCCCGTCCTCCCGCTCCTCCACGATCCAGCGCGGGTCCCCCTGGCCCCACTTGGCCATGTCTGCGCCGCGGCGCGACCTCAGCGGAGAACAAGGAAGGGCCGCGGCAGCGCTACGGCTCCGTCGCCGACGTTTCCGGCCTTCGAGCCCAAGATCAGAGCGTTCGCAGCGCCCAGAAAGTGCCAGAAATCCCCGCCCCCTGCGCCACCCGGCCCCGCCCGCCCCGCTGCGGAGCTCCGGCAGAGCTGGAGCGGGGCTGGTTCCGAGGGGCGGGGGCGCGGGGCGGGGCCCGGAGGGTGGAGGGGGCGGGGGGCGTCTGGGCTCAGGAAGCCCGCCCCCGGGAGGGGGTCGGGCCCGAGGCGGGTGCGGGCCAGGAGGGGAGGGGTCGGGGTCCAGGAGACCCGCGTGGTGGGCGGCGGTGGGTAGGCTAAGCGCCCGAGCCACGGCGCTGGGGAGGGGGCGACTTGGGAGGCCGGGTGGGGTTTGCGGAGGCCCTGGGCTCCGCCGCGGGTCTCGCAAGTGCACGGGCTGGGGAAGGCCGGACGCCTCTCAACGGTTCGTTATTATTACTGCAGCGATGACCTTCAGTGCTGGCAAGCGGGGCGTTGAGTAACGGGCGCCTGAGAGTTGCACCAGGGCTGCAGACAGGAAACGGCCGTCGGGTTGCCACCGGCCGTGCTGACGGTGTTCGGTCCTCTCGAGGACACTACCCTCGCGAGCACTTGGTCACCCTGTTTGCTGTGCGACCGACTTGCTGAGGTCGGAGCGCGCCCACGATGCGAGGCGGAGGTGGTCTCGGCGGAGCGCGCCGTCTTTACACCGTATTCGTTTTCTGTTGAAAGTTCCTACGGAGTTGGTGCACTCTGGCTCTCTCCTGGACGCCAAGTCTCACGCCTTCCCGCCACCTGTCCAAGTAGCACGAGCTACCAAGTTCCCAGTTACTTCGGGAATGTTTACATTTTATTCATGTAATAGTCCTTTCTAGATGACAAAAGAATGTGATTGCAAGCGTATATTACTGCAGCTCGATTCAATTTTACAAAAGTTAAGTGGATATTAATGATTCCTTTAACGAATTTTCACCTTTCAGCAAAAACTTTGCGCCAACTATTTGGGAAATGTTGCTGACAGGTCTGTGGATATTTATTTAGCAGGCAGAACAGGTATGGGATTTTGGAAGTCTGGAAGTACCTCACTGTTCTGTTCCACTGTGATGGACTGTCCTCTGCCTGTGGTCTGTTCTCCTCAATGAAATAAACTGGTAGAGAATACTTTCTCCATTTGCTTACCGGAGCTACTACATTCCAACGTCATTTTCCAAAAAGTTACAACAGTTTTGTAAGCAGACTGTTTACCAAGTGTTTTGACCCCCAGACAAAATGACATTTTGATTTCACCTTTTACACTTCACCAAACGCATGGACAACTAACACAAGGTATCAGAAAAGAATTGGATAGGCAATACTAGTGGGTACTGTTTGCTCAGGAAGCCCGCCCCCGGGAGGGGGTCGGGCCCGAGGCGGGTGCGGGCCAGGAGGGGAGGGGTCGGGGTCCAGGAGACCCGCGTGGTGGGCGGCGGTGGGTAGGCTAAGCGCCCGAGCCACGGCGCTGGGGAGGGGGCGACTTGGGAGGCCGGGTGGGGTTTGCGGAGGCCCTGGGCTCCGCCGCGGGTCTCGCAAGTGCACGGGCTGGGGAAGGCCGGACGCCTCTCAACGGTTCGTTATTATTACTGCAGCGATGACCTTCAGTGCTGGCAAGCGGGGCGTTGAGTAACGGGCGCCTGAGAGTTGCACCAGGGCTGCAGACAGGAAACGGCCGTCGGGTTGCCACCGGCCGTGCTGACGGTGTTCGGTCCTCTCGAGGACACTACCCTCGCGAGCACTTGGTCACCCTGTTTGCTGTGCGACCGACTTGCTGAGGTCGGAGCGCGCCCACGATGCGAGGCGGAGGTGGTCTCGGCGGAGCGCGCCGTCTTTACACCGTATTCGTTTTCTGTTGAAAGTTCCTACGGAGTTGGTGCACTCTGGCTCTCTCCTGGACGCCAAGTCTCACGCCTTCCCGCCACCTGTCCAAGTAGCACGAGCTACCAAGTTCCCAGTTACTTCGGGAATGTTTACATTTTATTCATGTAATAGTCCTTTCTAGATGACAAAAGAATGTGATTGCAAGCGTATATTACTGCAGCTCGATTCAATTTTACAAAAGTTAAGTGGATATTAATGATTCCTTTAACGAATTTTCACCTTTCAGCAAAAACTTTGCGCCAACTATTTGGGAAATGTTGCTGACAGGTCTGTGGATATTTATTTAGCAGGCAGAACAGGTATGGGATTTTGGAAGTCTGGAAGTACCTCACTGTTCTGTTCCACTGTGATGGACTGTCCTCTGCCTGTGGTCTGTTCTCCTCAATGAAATAAACTGGTAGAGAATACTTTCTCCATTTGCTTACCGGAGCTACTACATTCCAACGTCATTTTCCAAAAAGTTACAACAGTTTTGTAAGCAGACTGTTTACCAAGTGTTTTGAACCCCAGACAAAATGACATTTTGATTTCACCTTTTACACTTCACCAAACGCATGGACAACTAACACAAGGTATCAGAAAAGAATTGGATAGGCAATACTAGTGGGTACTGTTTTCTTGTGAATTAGCTGTTCATCTTTTATCCAGTTCATAAAGAATATTACCAATGGAACAGCACATAGTGAGATATGTATCATTGGAACCTGGGGTAAGACAAGAAAACTTATGGTATATGAAGTATTGAGAGTAGTCAAAATCATAGGGACAGAACAGTGTTGCCAGGGGCTGCAGGGAGAGGGAAGTGGGGAGTTATTGTTTAGTGGGTATAGAATTTCAGTTTTACAAGATGAAACAAATTCTGGAGATGGAGGGTGGTGATGGTAGCACAACATTATGAATGTACTTAACACCACTGAACTGTACACATAATGGTTACAATGGTAAATTTTTTTATGTGTATTTTACCACAATAAAAAAATTTTCGAAAAACAACCTCTAAATCAATGAGTAAAATGTTGCTGGGGAAGAGGATAATCATGAAATATGGAGGTATATCAAACATACCCCTGCTCAGTTTACTTACTAACTACATTCAAAAGGGAAAAGTAATCTTTACAAGGGAGAAATCTGGCAACTAACCACCTTAACCAAATGGTCAAACTCAGCATCAGTGGAGCAAACTGACATGTGTACACCATCACCTAAGTAGCATTCCTGAGGGAAATTCTGCAAAATGGATCTGGCCTAAACTCTACAAAAATAAACATTTCATGAATGTCAAAAGAAGACTAAAGAGAGGTGGCAATAGATGCAATGCTTGATCCTAAATGAGCTCCTGGATCCAAAACAAACGGTTTAAAATGACATAATTGGGGAAATTTAAATTGCATTTCAGACTGCGTACTGGATAATGTTGTGCCAATGTTAAATCTTCTGAGCAGTTAAACTTTGGTTACAAACGAGAGCATTCTTGTTCTTTGGAGATTACATGCTGAAATATTTATGGTAAATTGTCATGATGTCTACAATTAACTCAGAGAAAAGCAGATAAAGCAAGGTGGCAAAGGTTGACACCTGGTGAATCCAGGCGAAGTGTATCTGAGGGTTCCTTGAACTATTCTTGCAACTCTTCTGTAAGTTTGAGATTATCTTCAAAAGAAAAACTGGGGGAGAAAATTGAGTCAAAACATCTTCAGGGTCAAAGCATGGGTTCTAGCGTTTTGTAACCATCCAGTACTAGGGTGGGTAAAAATTACACCACAACATTTATCGAGCATCTACTGTGTGTCCAAGTCTGCTGTATGCTGGAGTGATCACGAAAATAAGACCTGGGGCTCAGGCAGCAGTGGAGGAGACGAGTGTGAATTCACCTTCATGGTAAA